TTGGATCTGAGGTGATCGTTGGGGTCATTAATGAATACGAACGGATTTGATTTTAGCTTGTTGGAAGGATAATATCGAGGTTCGGCTCGGAAATCTGCTGTAGTATTAGTCAAAAGGGAAGTGGCTTCATGAATGGTTGACCTGAGAAATGGTTACGGTTTATTGCGTGTTTCATTTATCGTCGGCAGTATATAGAAGTATTGGAATAAGACCTTAGTTGATAAGAGGTTTTCTACCGGTATTCGGGTGTTGTGTGCAGTTGCTGTGAATAGAAGTTATCGTGAGTGTTTGAGTTATGTGGTATATCATATGATTGCACCTGAGGTTGCAGGTATGGGTTATTACAGCTGGTTCGGGCTTATTCTGAATATAGATGTGAGGTTCTGATCTTGTGTATGATTTCGGAAAGTGAGATGTGGTTCTATGATTTATAGGCTAGACTGGATTGTGTGATTTTAATTAAAATGTGTTACCGGACCTATATGAGATAGGGTGACGTAGGATCACCCCCGGGTATATGCATGGAGGTTATTCAGCTATTGGTTGGCTTCTAGGACAACTCTGGGTACGTTAGAGGACGAACGTGTGTTTAAGTGGGGGAGGATGTAACGACCCCACCGGTCGTTTTGAGCTTTTGCACTTTGATCGCCAGTTTTCGGGCATGACTTGCCCCGTGTTATGTATTATGACTAATGTAGATCGTTGGTTTTGGTTCTCAGGAAAATTTGGAATGAATTTGAAAGAACAGTTTCAGTTGAAAGCTTTGAATTTGAAAGGTTTGACCAAGAGTTGACTTATTTGTATATGAGCTCGGATCGGAGTTTTTATGATTTCGTTAGCTTCGTTAGGTGATTTGTGACTTAGGAGCGTGATCGGAATTGGTTTTGGAAGTCCGGTGTAGAATTACGCTTGAATTGGCGAAGTTAGTAATTTGGCGAATTCCGGTTGATAGGTAAGATTTTGATCCGAGGGTCGGAATGGAATTCCGAGAGTTGCTGCAGCTTCGTTATGTCATTTGTGATGTGTGTGCAAAATTTCAGGTCATTCGGACGTCGTTTGGTCGGATTTTTGATCGAAAGAGTAATTCGGAAGTTTTGGAATTCTTAGGCTTGAATCCGAGGGTGATTCGATGTTTTGATGTTGTTTTGAGCGTTCCGAAGGTTGGAACAAGTTTGAATGATGTTATGGGGTGTGTTGGCATGTTTGGTCGGGGTCCCATGATGCTCGGATAAGTTTTGGAGGAGTTTTTGGAAGATTTTGCCGTTTTGAGCTTAAGCATGTAATGATCCAAAGGTCCATTTTTAGTTCTAGAGATCGAAATGTGATTTCGAGACTTCCGGAATTTTGACAATGAATTATAGGAGTGATCTGAAAGTTTGGTTTAATTTCATCAAGTCGCGATTGGGTTTTTGACGCGAAACATGAGTTAATTGTTTAACGAGCGAAATGGGTATCACACTGAGCAAATGAGCTCCAAATTGAGTTTTGATGGAAGGGCTATGTTCGTATTATTATTTGTGACTCATAGGAACAAGAATCATCGAATTCCGAGTTTGTATGACGGAGTTAGAGCCTTTTTAGTGAAATTAAAGATTGCTGGTGCATCAGATTTGGTGTGCACCTTTTAGCGACCAGATTTGGCTTTTAGCGACCAGATTTGGGTGTATTAGTGCTGTTCTGTTTTTTTTTTTTTTTTTTGCTCATTTTGACGTTTTTTTGTAAAAGAACACGGCTTGGGGCGATTTTTGAGCAAGAAATCATGGGAAATCTTGAGGTAAGTCACTTGTGATCATTTCTACTCCATAATATTAAATTATCATCTAATAATCCGACTAGATTACATGTTTTTGAGGTGTAAATTGGGGATTTGGACCTAGGGATCTGAAAATAAGATTTGAAGATTTGGAAGCCGAATTGTTATCGGAATTTAGTAATTTTGGTATGGTTGGACTCGTGGTTGAATGGGTTGTCGGATTTTGTGAGTTTCGTCGAATTCCGAAGCGTGGGCCCGGGGGCCGGGTTTGAGCAATTTCGGGATTTTGATGTTAACTTGGATATTTTCGAGTGGGCTTTGCTCCCTTAGCATATTTTAATGATTATGTACTGATTGTGGCTAGATTTGGAGCATCCGGAGGTCGATTCATGCGGGTGAGGCATCGCGGGCTAGAGTTTGGACCGGTTCGAGGTGAGTAATGATTGTAAATGATATCCTGAGGGTTTGAAACCACGGATTGCACATCGTAGTGCTATATTGAGGTTACTTGCACGCCGGTTAGTGGGCATGGGGTAGAGCACCGTTGGGGATTGTGACTTGGTCCGTCCCGATTGATGATTTTACTGCGTATTTGACTGAAATTTACTTGCTATCATCGTGATTTGGGCTGATTGCCATATTTGGGCTTCGTGCCAACTATTTGAATCCTTCGGGGATTATTATCGGTGTTCCCTCACTGTTTTGACTTATTACTTGAACTCAGTCATACTGTTTCTCCACTATTTTACAACTCAGCCACTTTTACTCTATTTGAGTCTTAAATGATATTTTAAATGATAATTTGGGCTGAGAACTACTGTTTTACTAATGCCGAGGGGCTTGTGATGCTATTCCAACTGAGTGTGCCCGTGGGCCAGATGTGAGGATACACTAAGTGATATGAGGCCGAGGGCCTGGATGTGAGGGTTTTATATTATGGATCGGGCTGCACGCCGCAGCGATATATATATATATATATATATATATATATATATATATATATATATATATATATATATATAT